AAATGATATTATAAATTAATTAATTGACTAATTAATGTCAAAAAGTGAGTGGTAACAACTATCATAAATTATGAATTAGATCCGACTTGCATTGTTTTATTCAGCAATTACTAATTTAAAATTTATATTTCGCATTAAATGTAAGAAAATTAATAAAATTGTTCAAGGACACGGGTAAAAGACGTTCTTGTCATCATAAATTTGAAAAACATATTGTTATTTTTTATTCTCATTGTGATATTTCGTTAATTCTCAAATGGGCTCTAATTTTAGTCAGATGCATTCATGGGAGAGCTCGCGATCGGGCCCATTCTTTGATGAAATATTCAAAATGTTGTATTGAATTTCAACAATACGGTAAATATAATTTTATTCAATAAAATATACCAAAACAATTTGTCCATGAATGAAATTCATTGCCGTAGCAATGAGACTTTGATCATTATGCAGTGGAGTGATTGCGACTTTTTAACATAGACGCAACTCCTTATTTTGACAACGTCTTCATTATTGCTTTATAAAAAAATATTGCATCATGGAAAACACAATTCCCACATGGAAGTTGAAGATATTTATCCAATGCTTCGAATAAAAGTAAAAACATGTTGCCCAAATTGTAAAATATGATTGGTTGAAATGACTTGGATCCAGGGCATGCCTTAAACAAATTTTCCTTGCTGGTCAAGATGTCCGGCAAGATCCAATTTTTAAGTGGTCAAATACAAAACCTGCTGGTCAAGATGACCAACACCTCTCCAAAATCTGCCGTCATGAGCAAATCTTCCTGGTCAAAATTTTCAATGCGCTATTTTCAAAAATTGATCTGTGAAAAGTCGTACTATTGTGCAATATATCACTGAAAATGGCCGAAATCGCTACGTCTATTTGATCCATAAGTAGTACTTGAAGTACTATAATCGATTAGTTTTTTACGTACCTTAAGAATTACGCTTGGCACAATCAGTTTTAAAACTAAATATGAATATGAATCCATACTTTTCGAGTGGTTTCGCCATCTTTAGATGAACTCGGGTCAAGAACTCCTTATTTGGAGATCACCGGAGGTATCTATTTGTGATTCGGTACTTTCCGATTACTATATTTGGAGATGTTCGGCTTTTTCTCCGAGACAAGAATTAAATTAGCATTATAAATGAGGCTGTTCTATTTAAAACTTAACTCCCTATCGATTATAATTTATCATGTCGTTATACGTGTAGATTGATTTTCATGGAAAGGGGAGATAAAAAACAAATGAACAGCCAACAGTTTAAGGGTCATCTCAAAATGTTTAGGCCTCGGACACGATATCTACGCTAAGGCTTATAGATTGGACAAGGTCTCGGTCACAATGACCGGCTAATTGTGATTTTGAGCCGGTCTTGTCATTATTTAATCGGACAAGTCCGGCTGTCAGACGCTTAAGGCGTGCCCTGCTTGGATCCCATGCTAATAGCCTGATGAATGAATAATGAGTGAATGATGATAATATAAGGCAGCTAAGCATGGATTTTTAATTTGTGTTGCTCATTGCCCATGAGCCAATGCCAATTAACAAGAGCATATCCACACATAATTATCTCAATTTACAGTCTCGTTTTTGATTGTACGTATTTACAACAGTTGGTGTGTAAACAACCCGTGGTAGCAAATTTTGGATATACATTATATTTTCTTAAACAATATATTCAATGCGTCGTTTATTCACCTCAATGAAATACTAATGCCTACCCTTTACATTCGCTTGCTTTGCTCTCCAGAGAGAGTTCATCTACTAGGATGAGCAACGATCCTTTGAATTTTCCGAGCCAATTAGGATCGATTGTTGATTTTTCAATGACTATCATATGTACAAGCGTGTTTTATCTCTGCTCTCTGATTGGAGGAACAAACGCCATCGCGGTAGAGTCATTAAACCATAATTTTGCTGAAGATCGTCAAAGCTTACTTAAAAAGAAGCTGATACTCTGGGTAACTAATGCCAAAGCTAAATAATATAAACCACCAGTTTAATTGCTTTGCATAGGATCAATTAAAAAGGTGTTTTACCACATAAGATGAGTTCCACATAGACTTAAGGGCATCTTTCAATTTAATACCACAGAACATCAATTATATAGGTGTTTTACCACATAAGATGAGCTCCACATAGATATAAGGGGATTTTGGAATTTAATACACACAGTGAAATACCACAGAACATCAGTTATATATACAGGGTGTTCCAAAAGTAATAGGACTGGTGCTGGCATTTTGTCAATTATGCACTGAGTATCTTCAAATTTTCACAAATTGTACTTTGAAGTATTGCAACTTAAATTATAAAGTTTCAGAAAAAATGATGAAATGCGGTTAGAGTTATGGTTACTATAGTAACATGCCATTCCAATACCCGGGGCAACTTTTGTCCTGAAAATGTGATATCTAACATTTTTGTATTACTGAATAAAGTATCTAATTCACCTATTATAATCCAAAAGTTCTTGTTTATTTTATTAAGTCCTTTGTTGTAAAGTTGTTGCTATACAACTCAGATTCATGTATAATTTCATAATGATAATAACATTTATTCAATTTCCTGGAATATCACAGTACAGTCTAAATAAAGACCCAATTTGAAGCCAGTCATCTACCTTGATAGCGCGCCTGCCCGCAGGTCGGCATTAAAGACCATGCAGCTATAGAGGAACTTATAGGTCTTGAGGGTCTAAAACCATGCACCATACTCCTCTGATCATGCAATATCTGATTTTTACTTATATTGAGAACGGAATGCTAATAAGTGCTGTACGACCTTTAAAGATGAGAATGACCTTCTCCAAATTGTCCAATCGACCCTGCGTGACATGCTCTCAAATGGGTTCACTCATGTGTTTGGGTCATGGATACAGAGTACTACTCTTGTACTGACCAAAGAGGAGCCTATTTTTCAAAGTAGAGGATACATAGAAATATTAAATGACGTAAAACAAATGTAATGCCCACCAGTTGTTGCATTTCAACTTTGATATAGCATGTACAAAATGATATGGCATGTACAAAATGCTTAATGTCTCTGTAACTTTTTGCGTGGAATGTTGCCCCGGGTATTGTGATGTCATGTTACTATAGCAACCATAACTCAACCCGAGTTTCATATATTTTGTAGAAACTTTGCAGTCTAAGTAACGATACATGAAAGTACATTATGTAGAATTTTGAAGATGATTGGTGCATATTTAACTAAATGCCAGCACCAGTCCTGTTACTTTTGGAACACCCTGTATATATATATATATTAGAAAATTGCAATAAATTCTAGAAAAGACAAGAGACAATTCAATTCAATTACATATAATTCAATTGTATATAATATAAAATAATATGTAATACATAGGCCTATGGTATATATTTTTATTTCCTTATTTACATTTTTCTCTTTGTGTGGTTAAAACATACCTTTATGTCTATGTGGAATTCATTTTATGTGGTAAAACAACTATATAATTGTTGATTCTATGCTAAGCAAAGTGGGTTTGTGTGGCATTTACCTTTATGTGGTGTTATGTTCTGTGGTATCATTTCACTGAATAGTGCATTTTTCTCTTGTGTGGTTCAAGCATACCCTTATGTCTATGTGGAATTCATCTTATGTGGTAAACAACTATATAATTGATCCTATGCTAAGCAGGGTGCTTTGTGTGGCATTAACCTTATGTGGTATTAAGATTTGTTGTATCATTTCATTGGTACCACGCAAGAGAAAAATGTACCATACAATGAAATGATACCACAGAACATAATACCACATAAAGTTAATGCCACACAAACCCCAATTTGGGCGTAACAATTCTTGGACAACCACACAATATGACAATTTACCACACAATGTAAATATACCACAGAGAATATATACCACATAACGTGAATACCACACAAACCCCCAAAGGGGCGTAGTACCGTACGTCTGTCCGTACGTACGTCTGTCCGTCCGGGCAATAACTCAAATACCGTTGGCCCGATTTTGTTCATATTTTGTACACATATACCCTATGGGAGTAGAAGTTCTGCTCGAAAGCCGATTTTCAAAATGGCCACTCATTTCAAAATGGCGGCCATTTTAGTGGCGATTTTACAGTAATTTAGGTGCAATATGTAAAACTGTAATAGCAATATGTTTTAAATGTAAAAAAATTATGAAGGACATTAATAATGCTACAAATGTAGATATTAAAAAAGCACATGGCAGCCATCTTGAAAAATGGCGGCCTTTACTCGTCATTTTACGATTTTTGCTGTAACTCAAAAAATAGTGGAGCGATTTTGTTCATATTTGGTGTGTGAATACTATAAGCATTGCACACTGTCTAAAGACACTTTTGGTAGAAGGCGGCCATTTTTCAAGATGGCCGCCATTTTAACGTATTTTACTATAACTCGAAAAGTAGTGGAGCGATTTTGTTCATATTTGGTATGTGAATACTATAAGCATGGCACACTGTCCTATGACACTTTTGGTAGAAGGCAGCCATTTTGAAAACAATTTTGAAAAATGGCCGCCATTTTAACGTATTTTACTATAACTCGAAAAGTAGTGAGCGATTTTGTTCATATTTGGTATGTGAATACTATAAGCATGGTACACCGTCAATTTCAAATGACGCTTTTGGTAGAAGGTGGCCATTTTGAAAAATGGCCGCCATTTTAACGTATTTTACTATATCTCGAAAAGTAGTGGAGCGATTTTGTTCATATTTGATATGTGAATACTTTAAGCATGGCACATTGTCTAATAAAACTTGGGGAGTTTTGAAAATGGTGGCCTTTCTGGTGTGTTGTTTTATGATATTTGCGCTTCGTTTGTAAAAATGCCAGCCATTTCTGTTCGATGGGATTCGCTACGCTTTGGCGTTGCCGTTGTTCTGGTTTAAAACTTACATAGGGTACTTGTTAAGGCTCTTCACAAAAGTAAAAGCTTAGTTTATGAACTGAACCTAAAAAAAAGTTGATTGCTTTTTCAGGTGAAGATGAATCGTATGAGGTTGCGTATCGCAGAGCGTCTCAAGGAGGCTCAGAATTCATGTGCTATGTTAACTACCTTCAATGAGGTAGACATGACGTAAGTTCACCTTCCTTTTTGGGGTTACAAACATTATTTAAGTATACTCTTAGTCCTTACCTCAAATTTTATTTTTCATATCTTTTACTAGTATAAATTATTATGGCATCACCATTGTTATGGTCTACAACTTTTTTGTGATGGTGCCTGGTGGTTGGCATTCAGCATTCGGCTTCAGTAACAAATGTAGCAAATGGAAGGTGGTGACATTTAGCATGTTAATGCATTATTTTAAAACTTTATCTTTGCAATAATCCATTGTCTTATGCCTCTGTAAACTAACAGATCAATGCTTTTTTAAAATGAATGTAAAATAAGCGTATGGTTGATTTTCAGTAATATAATGGAGATGCGCAAGACATACAAGGATGCCTTTATGAAGAAACACAACATTAAGCTAGGGTTTATGTCCGCATTTCTCAAGGCATCTGCAGTTGCATTAAAGGAACAACCGAGTGTTAATGCAGTCATAGACAACAAAGAGATTGTATATAGAGACTATGTTGATATTAGTGTGGCTGTTGCTACACCAAAGGTGAATGAGCATCTTTCACATAAAGCTTGATTTCTATGTATATTATTATATACAATACAACAGTGATCTCCCCAGCATTAAAGCAAGTGGGAGCAGCACCCACCTGAGATTTTAAAAACATGCTTGCACCCACCTGAAAATCCATTTTCACCCACTTGAAAATGAGAAAAATCATGAAAAATGGGCATATTTTGACAAATTTTGATCTGAGTTATGTTAATGAAAATTTTGCACCTAATTGAGAAAATCTCCTGTGGATGACACTGTTACAATCTACAAAAGAATGTGGTGATCCATTCATGGGAGCGTGACTAATGAAGAGTCAGATAAATAAAAAATACATTATGTCCAAATGAGGTACCACAAACATTTGGCAATTTGTTCCACCCTGATGAGCAAAATACATTGTAGATAATAAGCATACCATGTTTCTTAAAATATCATATGGACAAAATATACGCCTATTATTTATTAAAAAGGTAACTAATGAGATAGCGAGGCACTAGCTCTAATATATGGGTCATTGATTCTTGAATTTTGGTCTAATTTTGTAAGAAATCTTTAGTGATCTCTTTTTGAAAATAAAGAATGAGTAGAAAATTTGCTATAGATATAAGTATGTCAACCCTTGTATGTATTATTACATGTATGCTCTACTTGCAGGGTTTGGTTGTGCCAGTATTACGTGATTTAGATAATTTGAACTACGCTGAAATCGAGCAAGCTTTAAATGAAATTGGAGAAAAGGTAGGGCTGATTATTAAATCCTATTAGCAGACAATTGATAAGATATATATTTCTTTCATTGACAATTGTCATAGATATAATGAAACCAAGTTTTGTAATTACATTATAAACTCGAAATATTTCATAAACTATGAATAAGGTATGAGTACCGTAATCCAACACCAAATTCGAAAATTCATAACAATACTTTGCACATATGGCGTTCGTGACCAACTATAAAACGCTTACCCCCCATAGTGTTATATATCAAAATGTACCTGTTCATATAGGGGTTCGATTGATCTACATCAAATTATAGGGAGTCAGGTTACTTTTTGAGATATCAGCGTCCATTTATTGTGACTCGCGTTTGCTACCACTTCCTCAATTCTGATATGATGGGCAAACGCGTAGTAAACATGCTCACGTCGGAACTATTTTTGACCTACATCGCTAAAAGAACTCCTCCTCTTTATTTTGATACCAAATAGTGGCATACTAGGTACCCTAGAAGCCAACTATGGCGTTATTTAGAACAATACCACGAGTTTTTAAATGGACTATATAGGGGTCATACCTTTTGGCGGATGGATATGGAACCTCATACCATAATACACACATACATAAAAATCTTGCTTTTTAGTATTATAGATTTTTTGATATGACCCAATATAACGTTTCCTTTATTTCAGGCGCGTGGTGGTAATCTTGCTATTGAAGACATGGATGGTGGTACCTTTACTATAAGCAATGGTGGAGTGTTTGGTTCAATGTTTGGTACACCTATCATTAACCCTCCTCAGTCAGCTATCCTTGGCATGCATGCTATCTTTAACAGACCCATGGCTGTAGATGGAAAGGTACTGTACAATGGCTAACATTTATATGTTTTTGAAGATGTTGTACTTGTAATATTTAAAATTTGGGCCAGTCTAAAGTGTTTGGATTAACAACTGTTTACGTTTCATGTTTTTGTAATGCGGTAGTTAATGGGAGAATACAAAATTGGGAACGACATTTTGAACACATTGAGACTTGATTGGATTAGACAGGTATTTTGATGAACAGGTTTTTCAACATCACACAAGGAAGTTAAATATGTACAATGTTTATGATAATATATGTGACACAATTTCATAAAAAAACATTTAGTGGCATACATAACAGAAATACATCACTATTAGTGAAAAAATAACACCTAAACTTTTATTTTGTAATTTGATTTCAGGTTGAGATTCGACCAATGATGTATATAGCGCTTACATACGACCATAGACTCATAGATGGACGAGAGGCTGTCACTTTCCTTAAGAGAATCAAATCAGGTGTCGAAGACCCTAGGACTTTACTCTTGGATATATGAGCAATTGACCTTAGTCATACAATCACATACAGTTATCTTAGTTGTGATGAATTCATATATCAGATATGTGTTTCTACATGTAGTATGGAGTGAAATTTTGTAATTGCACTATTATTTCTCACACGTTGGAATATTAGTTTTGATTGACCAAATTGACAGGAGCATCTATTTATTCGCGACATAATATTGTAGAATTAGGTAACTTAAACCTTTGCCAATAACTTTTGCCTTTCATCTCTAACTGCACATATCACTTCCCAGTCAAACGTACTTATAACCTACTGTAACCAGGTAAAACTTACCATAGAAAGGATAGTCTTTTAAATATGAGGGATATAAAATTGCATTTGGGTCTTGCTTACATGTACATACAAGATATGTGTTCAATATTTATTACATGTATTTACAATGAGTTTGCAGGGTATTTGATATTGAAATATATTTTAGCTGTAAGTTTTATGATTCCTGGATCTGGTTTCTGCTAGAATTTTCTGAAATGTTCTCACACATATCAAGTTCAGCCACTGTAATTAGGTCATAAGTATTAACTGAATGATTACGGTGGCCTGTTTCGGATTGTTTCAATTTAATATCACACTGTTTTTAGGATGTCAACACATATATAGCCAATATGGAGGAGTTATGTATGAATTCTATTATGATAGTGTACTATATCCACAAATTCTGTCATTATTCTCTTATTCTCACCAGATATTACAAATCTTGATTTGTGATGTGTCAGTTCTCGTTCACGTGATTGTTTTGATAAAAAGATCCCAGACTAAGATAACATTGTGTGGATTCTCTGGTGAGAGCAAACTCCTTCATATGTTGTGGATTAAGATGGAAAAATCACATATTTGCACATTTTGGTTTTATGTCCAAGATTTTATTATACCGTACATTCATTTCAATTGCTTTAATGGCGTAATTGTAGTATATTCCTTGTTGCACAGATATTTTCTTTGTGTTGACTGGAAATGTACATGTTCATTGTGTTCTCGATGATCTAAAGATGTAAGAAGGCAATTATATTATATTAAAGCAAAGAAGTTTAAAGAATTCTCTGTTTGTATATTCTATCGGAGTTGATACGAATTGATTGATAAAAAATTGGAAGACCAACATTATAAAAAGGTGTGAAATTATACTCCCATACTTATAATTAAGTATGTACTTCTGTATGTTATGTCAATGTACACATATTTATGCTACATGTATGTCTCATTTTAAAGTTATTTATTCTCTGCATATGTATATCATATAAACTAAATGAAAAACTATGTTTGATTAATGTGATGATCATAATTTGTTGAAATTGTTAATAATGTTAAAAAATATAAGAATTTGTGAAGTCAAGTAACCCATTTTATGTTTGAGTTAATGATGTAAGAACTTTACACTGCTCATTATCATATACCTTCTACAATGCATGTACTTTAAGTGTTCACTATTCAACATTTTTATGCCCTGGATCATGGTCAAAGATGGACAAATATAGCAGTGTAATATTGCAGTGCAAAACTGCTAGCTATAGATTAATTAGTTTCAACTTTAGTGTTTTCTCGACAATTGTTAATTCCCATGTAATTAAAATGATTATACCATTGTCACATTTGCCATTGTATGATTGGTTAAAGCATGGTCACGTGATACAAAATATCCGGAGATAATAAAACAAGAGATCATTTAAAAAAATGAAGGCTCGTGTGAAGGAGATGTTTGCAGTTTTGATAAATAGGGATACAGACTGAAAAATTGAAATTTTATGCATATTATGAAAGACGTTCTATAACTTGTAAAGCAGGTGTTCCTTACAGAAGAGTGTTTTCTAAGTCAAGTTTCACTGTATAAGTAAATTGCCAAGCTTACTTTCAACGCGGTTGTAATTTACCGAACGGCAAAAGTAGAAAAAAATCCGAACATTTTGAACTGATTAAGATATTTAAATTGTGAAGGTCTGAGTACCTGGACTTCTGAGAAAACATCCAAACATATCAAAAAGTGAAGATGGGTCAATTTGATTCTCGTTCTCCGAAGATATTAGTAAAATAGTTAAATGTTCGGAGTTTTTTTAATGCTGTAAATTGTTCACAATTCTAAATCAAGAAGTCGCTCGTATTTCTGTCGTATTTAGGAAATCATGTTGCCAATAATCAGTGCACAGTGTTTCATGGTGTTGTTGTAAAATGTGCGTATATTTCGTTTGAAACCTTCACTAACGCAATTTTATTATAAACTAACACCTTAGGGTTAAACTATTGCTCGAGGAATTAACTCATTTTCGTCAATAAATATTAACCCATCAAGTTTTCTACTAGTAAACTAACGTTTAAACCTCAGTCCATTGTCGTTATCACTTACTACTAAACCCAAGTGAGATATGGCTCTTGCCTCAGCACGAGCCAATAACTCTTGATTAAAAGTTGAAATTGGGGTAACTGAAACCTTGTGAATCAAGAGGTTGTCCTTTACAAACTCTTATCAGATATGGTTCTATTTATTGCATGTGAAATGGGTAATGTCACAAAGGCCCATTCATTTCAGGTTAATGAAAATTAATTGCAGTAAATGTTTAGCACATATGTTTAAAGCACATATTAATGTAGCAGAGATTTTTATCGGAGAAACAATATAATGCTAAACATAAAATTTATTTCTTATCCTTGTTATCCAAAATTGTTGGTTAGCGAAGCAGTAATTGCATCATGTCGATTCTTATTATTATTTGTATGCTGATTTTCAATGTAAATCGGAGAATTGACGCACAAGGTGGGTTCTTGATTTAATGAAATATTAATTTTAAACAATTTAGATAATTAAAAAGCAGCGCTTCAGTATTTGAGTGGTAGAACAGAAACTATCCATCAATATATGTTTCCTTGCTAGGAAAATCCTCTTGGGATATTGTACTAAAGGATTTTACACTTACGCCAATAGCACATTTCACTTACAATATGGTATACAGACGTTAGAACAGTTGAAGTCCGCCCAAATGATGACCATTCTTTCAATTTCAGTTTTTGGCAATGTTTATGCAAGACAAGACGACATTGCCGTAGTAACATGTAACGTGAATTACCCAAGTAGCGAACGTCTAGAATGGTTTGAGCTCGAGCAGTCCGCAAACCCAAACCCACCACCGGTGTATACAAGTGTTAATAACCCTGGTCATACAACAAAGAACCCAGATAAATATGAGATGGTGCTCGGACCCAGATATGACCTTGCCATCAACGTTAATCGTCCAGAAAACCAACATTATTGTGTTGTGAAAGATGCCAGTGGGAATGAGGTGTCTCGACCAAACACATGGAATATTTGGGTCGCAGGTAAACTAGGTCAAGTCAATCCATTTACTACATCTGTCAAAGTGCTCGCATCAATGTCTTGTATTTTTATATATACCACATTAGTAAAATAGCATTTTCTTGCATCAAGTCTCTTGACCACACTACCCATTTACATGATTATGCTTGTTGAGTTTTTTTAAAGGAGGAGGGGGTTCGGTTAATCTTGATTAAGTACTAATTTTAAGCCTTTGAGTGTATCCAAATCATGATTTTTATGTCTCCACCAAAAAGTGGCGGTGGTTGGCGATCGGCAACAAATTCTTACAACTTCCTTCCTAACTTAACAAATACTGTTTAGACTGACTTTTCAAAATCATCTACAGAAGTTCAAATCTGACTTTAGATTTGAGATTTTACCTTCAAAAAAGGTCTTTTTCAACTTGCTCCAAATTGACCAATTTATTTTTCAAAATTATCTACAAGTTAATGACATTCCCAAGATTTGACCTTCAATGACCTTCTCAAGGTCAACAAGGTATTTTTTCATCTTGCTTCAGATTGACCAATTTTTTTCAAAATCATCTACAAGTTCTCAGAAGTTCAAATCTGACTTTAGATTTGAGATTTCACCTTCAATGACCTTCTCAGGGTCAAAAATGTTCTTTATTCAACTTGCTTCAAATTGACCAATTAATTTTTTCAAAATCATCTACACGTTCTCAGAAATTCAAATCTGATTAAGATTGAACTCATAATATTGTGAGCAACTAGGTGGTGAAATTTTGTCAGGTTAATGCCTTGTTTTAATGTTACCACCACAAGTGTTGACATATCGTTATAGTCTCCATCTTTTTTGTGGACGGTGTTAGGCGGTTGGCGTTCGAGTTCGTCTTCCGGAGTTCGGCGTTTGTTCTTACATTGTGATATTTTTATTGATTTTCTTGTTTTTAAGATGGACCCAACTGTCAGGATCAGATTGTCCAAGTGTCCGTAAATAACGTAGCCAGATTAGTCTGCAGACAAGGTTCCCATGGTTCTTCATTTCCCATGGAATGGTACACGGCTGCTGGGAATGTACTGGAGAGTACTAAGGAATACCATTATGAAACTAAACATCAGTATTTGACTTTAACACACGAGTTTGTTGCTAACATTGGTCATCACAACATGGTGTTTGGCTGTACCTTACATTCAAAGGAAACTGGACCAAATGATCTAGCAACATTTACCTATGCCACTTGCTCTACCAGAATTGAAATTATTTAGTACCCAAAACTCCGTATTGAAGTCAATATACTCAATATAAGCTAGTTATACGTATACTTATAGTATAGTTAAACTTGTTATGCAACACGCATTGATCCTTTTTGCGTTTCGTTTTTCCATGCAATGATCATGGTATCACTCTGATAATTCTCAAATAAGTCATTAATCATTTTACCTCATTTAAAGCATGTAACTTTTTCCTTGTCATCGAAGCTCAAGGCCGCAACCAAAAAACATTTATAATAGTTTCCTAATATATTTCATTTTAATGTCATCATTGTTAGATACATCATATTGAATTGTGATTGCAGAAGTGTTATCGTCTCCAACTTGCTGTGGACGGCGATTGGTGTTCGGCGTTTGGGTCAATTTTTTCAAACTGAAGTTCAAATTCATCCACGTTCTCCGACGTTTAAATCCTAGATTTGAGATTTGACCTTTGATTGAGCTTCAATGGCCTGCGAAAGGTAAAAAGAATGATTTCTGAAAAAGAACAAACTAACCAACCAACTTAGTACCTAACTTAGTAACCAACCTGGTAGCTAACCTGGTAAATGATATGATTACTGACGTAAGAACCAACCAAGGAACTAACTTTGTAATCTGACCTTTGATACTTGATTTTACCATTCATTGACCTATAAAAGGTCAGAAGGATGTACGAGGGCCTCCGTAAGATTGCTTGCAATCTTGATTTCTAATTATCCATAAGTCTGTTTTTGTTGTTGGCAGATCTCTTTGTAATTCATTGACATCAGAGATGATCCTTTGATTCGTGGAATCCTTGACATATTTGAGTCAGTTAAAGGGACTTCATTAAATTAATTAGATAGAGTCAATTAGGGGTGATCATTTAAATTTTAATCCAGTCTGTTTTTTAAATCGATAGGGATGAGAAAAAGATCAAGTTGGGACTTAACAGATCGAGGTACTAATAGTAAACCAGATTATCCCATACTTGGACGTGTTACGGGTACATAAAGCCGGTTTGTAAAAACTTATATTTTCATCAGTGGGCAGATATAGGGGTTATGCACTGGAGGTTTTGGATACAGGGAATATCCCGAGGGATATACAATATATCTTCCCGAGGGACCGAATAGACCGAGGGAAGATGTATTGTATACCCCAAGGGATATTCCATGTATCCAAACCGACCGTGCATAACTGGTGTATCTCATACTTGGGTGGGTTTAGGGTAGATATAACATTTTCCACCTTTTTCAAATGACAAGATATTTATATTTAACATTTTCGTAATATTATTTTTGTTCAATACAATGAAATTGTAACATTTAAACTTAAAAAAATTAAATTTTAAAATTAAAAAATTAAAACTTTTGATATTTAAACGTTTTTAAACTTTTGAAAAATTCCCGGGAGCGGGATGGATATATTATATCTGCCCGCATTTGGCCTGGAGCGGGACATATACAATATATCCTGCCCGCTCCTCAGATACGATATATATTCCCGGATGATATCTACCCCAAACCCACTCAAGTATGAGATACATAGGGGTTATACACTGGGAGGTTTTGGATACAGGGAATATCCCGAGGGATATACAATATATCTTCCCGAGGGACCGAAGGGACCGAGGGAAGATGTATTGTATATCCCAAGGGATATTCCTTGTATCCAAACCGACCGTGTATAACTGGTGTATCTCATACTTGAGTGGGTTTAGGGTAGATATAACCTTTTCCACCTTTTTCAAATGACAAGATATTTATATTTAACATTTTCTTAATATTCTTTTCGTTCAATACAATGAAATTGTAACATTTGAACTCAAGGAGGATTGGCTCCCAGAGTGCAACATCGATATTCTGTCCCATATATGGGCATGTCGTGCTACAAAATTTGAATTCCAACAGCCGCCATTTTGTTCACTTCAACATTTGAATCGTAAATTTTGGTCTTATTTCCTAACGAAAAATTCCAAAACTCACAGGAAATGATTGAGATATTGGTTCGAATCTTTTGAACTGTTTATTTTGAATTTATAATCGGTTATAATTTCAGAAAATAACGACATCTCGGCGTTTTCATTGTTGGAAAATATCGACTTCGATTCTGGGAGCCAATCCTCCTTGATTTGAACTTAAAAAAAATTAAATTTCAAAATTAAAAAATTAAAACTTTTGATATTTAAACTTTTGAAAAATTCCCGGGAGCGGGATGGATATATTATATCTGCCCGCATTTGGCCTGGAGCGGGACATATACAATATATCCTGCCCGCTCCTCAGATACGATATATATTCCCGGATGATATCTACCCCAAACCCACTCAAGTATGAGATACATAGCTTTACGTCCCGCTCCGAGCGGGCAGATATAGTATATATAGTATATAGTATATCTGCCCGCTACGTCAGTATCGCTGTTCCCGTATTGGTTCTTTTTGTAACGTTCGCATGCTGTAAACGACAAAAAACACAGACAATCGCGATCTGTTTGATGCTTTCAAGAAGGGAAGGAGGAGTATGCACTGTTAATTAAAGATTTGAACAGGAAAATCCGGCTACGGACAAGAATACAAAACTGGACATGAATATTTAAAAATAATTCCACACTTGGTTGCAAAGTTTCTGAACTTTGGCCAATTGAACAATGTGATTGGTATGGGATAAACAGATCATCCTATAGTCGGTTCAGGATATTGGGATCATCCCTTGGCCAATATAATATTTCTACCCTCGGGACCTACGGCCCTCGGGCAGATATAGTGTACTGGCCTCGGGATAATCCCAATATCCTGAACCTCATATTGGATTATAATCTCTATTTATCTCCAAAGCAAGCGATGCAAGACGAATATCCGGTCTTAAAAAGAATTATAATTAGTTACAACTGTTTCAACAGAAGAGGAGATACGACAGTTGCAGAAAATCTGTGAGAAATCTTATATCTGATCCAATGTTCACTAGAAACAGGATTTAATTGATTTTGCCAAGATTTAGTGTTCACTCTTCACAGAAGGTAGGTGTCCACGATAGGATTGTACTTTAACATAGGAGCCACTTGGAGAGAAAGGTTTTGCCGAAAAAGTTCACTTTTGATAGGTGTTCACTGGAGAGATGTGTTCACTAACTCAGGCTTTACTGTAGTGACATTTTGTCATGTCAATGCCTTGTATGTGACACAAAAATTACTAGTGTACTTGATAAAGGTATATAGATGCAGACTGTGAAATCAAATTATTCAAATACTTTAAGTACCACATGTACAGTGCATGCATGGTGCTCAATTACTGGTAAACTGTACTTTGCTTTATATGCCGAAACCTTGACTCATATTTCAATGATTTATTAAATGCATGCAGAGTCATTGACTCCAGTTTATTTGAATTAGTGAATGAGGAGGTCCTATCGAATTATGGTCCTACTCTCCATTGATTTATGTGGTGACCTAAATACAACTCTTTCCCTCATTATCTTATACACAATCAGGGCCAGTAAGGGGCCGTTAAGAAAGGGGACCATAATCCCTGGGGACCATCATTTCTTTAACATCTGTTTGTGGACGTGTGCCCTATTTCCAGATTTAGACATGCATTTCGGATTTTTAAAGGCGCGAACCAGAAATGAGATACAATATTTGCAATCTACATGTATTCTAAAATACCTTTTATTTGAGTGTATTACATACCCAGCGAAGCATTTGTATTGAAGTCAATGGAACTGAAGGTCGGCTATATATTCCTGTATTATATACCTAGCGAAGCATTTGTATGGAAGTCAATGGGAAAGTTAGCGAGCTATATCAACCGATATTGCCCGATTACCCCGATATAGCCCGCTTACCTCGTTTTGATATTAGATTTCTTTAATAACCATGATAATATCATGGCGTCACGTCATTGATACAAAGTAACCATGGGAACAAAGGCATGTAATACATCAGTTATGTCACTATGACGTGAAATATGCCTTCGTTCTTGCCCAAATATAGAGCCTCCCAAGGTCGGCCTATATTGGGAGAACTCAGGCATATTTCACGTCATAGTGACATAACCTCTAAGTATAGCCGCCAAACCTTTTACCATGACAATCTTATGACGTCATCGGGACGTCATGATTCATTTCTTCCTAATTTCACTCGCACATAGACACGTGGCGTCATTGATATAACGTAGCCATGATCACTGCTACCCACCTAATTACACAGACGTATCGTCGGTGTATCATGGCGGAACTTCCTCCGGGACTAGGTTTCGGTAAGTTTCGGTTTCGGCATTAATATTGCCAATATTACACTGATATTGGTCGTTCGTCAGTGTAAGAAAAGCGAGGGACTAAATACGTGAATTGTGTCTTTGTTAACATATAAAACCTAAAACCATCGACACATTCTCAAACTAGACTATCTTCCTTAACTTCGAGCCAAATTATTATCCACAACGTGACTTATAAGTAGGTGTAAATCGGGAAATAAAAAAATCTTACCGAAACCTAGTCCCGGAGGAAGTTCCGCCATGATACACCGACGATACGTCTGTGTAATTAGTTGGGTAGCAGTGATGATATAAAAGTATGTAATACAACAGTTATGTCCGTATCATTGAATATATGCCTTCGGTCTGTCGTAATATAACCCTCGCAAGCTCGGGCTATATTGGTGACAGACCTTAGGCATATATTCAATGATAGGGACATAACTGCCTTCGTTATGTCGTAATATAACCCTCGCAAGCTCGGGCTATATTGGTGACAGACCTTAGGCATATATTCAATGATTGGGACATAACTGCTAAATAAAAGAGCCATGCCTTGGAGAAATCTCAAAATATAAATGAATAAATAAATCCCGTTTTTGACTGGTATTACTCAAATACCAGTCAACAGATTTGATTCAAATTGTACATGCTGATGGCTTAGGGACATTGAACTTTAATCAAGAAGAAATTTTCAAGATGGCCAATGAATTCAAAATAGCCTCCATTTTTCGTTAAAATCATGTAATATTTGATAACGCAAATACCATTCAAATGATTCAATGGTTTTGGTTTAAATGTTATACGCTGGTGCCTCAGAGACAAGGGACTCTACTCAGGAAGAAATTTTCAAGATGGCCACTGAATTCGAATCAATGGCCACAATTTCCGTAAAAATTGTACTCGTTGAAGGTGACGCTGTAGCAATACATTTAACTGATACCTTGGTCACATTTGCTCCGATTTTCACTTCGGCGCCCGGGCGATTGAGTATTTTGTTCAAAATCGAATACAATATTGAACAAAACACTCAATCGGCCGGGCGCCGGCCGATGGATCGGAGCAAATGTGACCCGGTGTGAAAGAAATGATGGTCCCCCAGGGAATATGGTCCCCTTTCTTAACGGCCCTTACTGGCCCTGATTGTGTATAAGATAATGAGGGAAAGAGTTGTATTTAGGTCACCATATAAATCAATGGAAAGTAGGACCATAATTTGATAGGACCTCCTACCCTTTTACACCGGCATAAATAGAAGTGATTATAAATTTAGTAAAGTAAAAGCTAATCATCCCTATACTCGTACATATATGGTTGAAGAGCACTTGAATTGGTTCTTTCAATGTCATTGGTATATTGTCTAGTCCTTTTTTGTTTTGTTATTCAATCGGCGTAATATGTATTGAATCAAATACTTGACAACAATAGCGACAACACCACCAAACATGACCAAAGAACACACAACCAATGCAATTATATCAAGAAGATAGTACTGGAACATATTTAGGTTGTTTTCTGCATCCGACCTCAAATGATGTGCCCCTTTGTGTTTGATGACGTACTCTATCCAATACATAACCTTTTTCTTTGGATCAATAGGCTGACTGTGGAAGATGTCTGCAGCTTTATTTGCATTATCTTTATAGCGTTTATCACCGATCACCTCTTTCATAGCGTTACTAAGCTTTTCACTCGTCATTTCTGTCAACAAAACTGTTTTTCCAGACTTTACTTTGTGAGTCAGCTTGTGGCAGTTAAAAGACTGGTCCCAAAAGAACGGCACTCCAACAGTGGGCATAGCATAATGCAACGCTTGGAATGATACGGACGATCCACATTGTGTCACTAATAGCTTTGTAGAAGGGTGCGCCAACAGATCCTCTTGGGGGATCCATTTTTTCACAATGGTGTTATTGCCAAGTCCTTTGGGTAGGGGGCCCTCATAGCTCCATATGACGGTCTGAGGCATTGCAGCGAAAGCACCTGCAAACTTTTCACTCGTTTTAGGATCTAATCGACGAAGCATAGAACCAAAACTAACAACAATTACGCCATGTTCCCCCGCTTTCTTGATGATATTACTGAACTCCTTTTCTAAAGGTTGTGTTTCAGACTTAACAAAAAATCCTTCGACAGATATGATATGGGGCATATATGGGGCAGGGTAATGGATAGCATCATTTCTATTCATCATGAATAGTGATATAGTCTTGTATGCATCTCGTATATTGTCACATGCATCACCATAGTCATGTCCTCTGCAGAAAGAGATAAATCTGTTGTGTATATCATACCATATCCATTTTATACGCCAATACTCTACAACGTTCATGAACCGTTCTGTAAATGTCATTTCATCAGTGTAGGTTGCTGGGAAAAAAGCATGAACAAATGCCAAATTAAATTTTGGTACGAAATTGGCATCAAGTGACATTGGACCCCAGTTACTGTACACAATCATTGGTATGTCAAAATATGCAGAAACCAGTCTCGGGAAAAATACAGCTTCGTCTGCAAAAATTAAATCAAATTTTGATGATGCTAGTTCATTCCATAAATCCTTGTCCTCTAATGCAAATTTTAAATTTTGTTCAAATGCTTGACTGAGTATTTGTAGAAGGGTGGTATAGGGGCTGTATAACTGTGAGTTGATCCATTCCTGATTTACTGTTGATTGAGCTGTATCCGGATCATATGCAGGGGTCTTGTAGGTTAAAACCCTGAACGCAATGTCCAAGTTAGAGCCCTCGGCATGCTTAAACAGAGGTTCATTTTGAATCCTATCTGATACGACTACAGTCACTTCATGGCCAGCTTGTAGTAACATTCGCCCAATTCGCAGGGTATTTCTTATACGGCTATTATAACCTATATCAAATGGTGCAAGAAGTATGCTACTGCTGCCAGAAAACTCCAAACAAAATGCCACTAGAAGAAAAAGTTTAATCAACGCCATATTTTTCATGTACGCGTCTCCTCTAAGTGAACGATGAACCTTTGGTACGATTTAGAGAATTCAACAAGGTCAAATGTATTGGTCTGTAATATGTAGGCCTACTTGACACAAATCATAAGTCAGCATATCTCTCACAGGCTGGTATCTAAAAATTTGTCCGCTGTGACGGAGCGTGCTATTTTGCATAGGAACACTAGGAAGTTCCAAACAATTTATTTTTTACTCATATGTTTGGCTATATCAAAGAAAATTACCTACTCCGTGCAATGGATATATCATTTGCAAGTAACTTTAACTTCTGTTTAAAGTCCAACAACGCTAAGAGTAAAAGCTATTGAAAACGGGGCAGGTGTGAAAGAAATAATGGTCCCCCGGGGATTATGGTCCCCTTCTTAACTGCCCTTACTGGCCCTGATTGTGGATAAGATAATAAGGGAAAGAGGTCACCATATGAATCAATGGAGAGTAGGACCATAATTTGACAGGACCTCCTACCCCTTTAACACCGGGATGTCATACTCCAAAATGTACTATTTCTTTTATTTCTTTTTAATGATACAATATAGTGACACGATATTATTTACATATGTTTTCAGCATAACTCTGAAGGTATTGATGAGATCTTGATGTATTGAGTATTTTTAATTTTCTTATAAAAAATAATGTTTAATTTTTTTGTCCGCTGTGACGGAGCAGTTTCAAATCTGAAATACGTTACGAATTAAAGATTTATAGTATATCTTTATTGTATTGTATTGTATCCTTTATTACCACAAGTGTATATTGTGAGTACATTACGTGGCAAATCTATCTCTTTCGTAAAGTATTCTTAAAAATGAAACGTAATAAAAGTATTAAGCAATTTAAAATTTGAGATGTATATAAGACCACTCTTTAAGCTTTTTTTCAGTTTGTACTGCAATCCAACTTCTGCATGATAACTCAACTTCATTTCAGTATAGGGTATTTGCCTACTGTGGATCGATCCATCACCTGACATGGTAATTTTTACGGTAATTTGATTATTTGAAGTAAAATTATTTGATGAAGATGAAGCTAAATACATATAATGGTATGAACTGTGGATTGTTCTACCCTCTAAGTCGTTCCAAAAGGTAAGTGGAGTGTATCTTGAAATACGAAAATGCAAAATTAGATTTTAAGATTGTTCTTTATTAGAATAAGAGTTAGGCTCATCTGATGCGACGGTGAACACATATGGAGCCTCAAATATGTGTTCCCAGTTGGTAGATGTTCACTCCATTGAGGCAATTTCGTACAGAAGTCAAATCAATGTCCATTGATACACGTTTTACCATGCAGCACGTTTGCCAAGACTTTTTCTATATTTTTAGACTATGCAAAACAATGAGGCGTGAATTTCAAATAATTGCAAATTAAATCTGTATTGAGATCATCTTAAAAACAGTAACATTATGTTGTAAAATGTTATACATCGGAATGCAGGATGGCTGTGCGCTATTTCGAATAAATTCTTATTAGCCCTATTTACACCACACGTGACATTCCACGACGTCTTGGCGAAAACGTATTAGAAATATTATGATGAGTTTACACCATGTTGATTTATGTTAATTTCAGTACAAACCTCCGAAAATGAGTGGTCGTTTTTATATCTCAGATTTACATTACCCCCGATCTTCCAGACTACTTGTTATAATTTAGGAAAGTGATTTGAGACGTTCTCTCCTCTTAGTCAGAAACCCATGCCTCTCTATCATTTCAAAAAATTTACCCAACGTATCGGTCTCTGTTAATTTATGGCATCCATACTTTTTTGAAAGGTAACACTTTGAGGCTCAATTTTTTGCCGGATGCCCTTGCAAACTCTTATTGGTTGCTCTGTATTGTAGCATTCCGTTACCATGGTTACGCATCTATTGACATTTTACCTTGGAATCTTAAATCATTTGTAACTTTGTCATTATTTGGCCTATAGAGATGATATTGGTATCAAATTAAACCTAATTAAATTTCCCATAAAGTAATGATATTCAATTATGCAAATTAGCTCATTTGCATAAATTGTGACGTCATCAATCAATTTTTGATTCAGGATTTTCAAGTATAGCAACGTATCTATTAGAACTGATGCCGTATGTCAGAATTTCTGCAAAGTTTGGTCCTTTAGACTATAAGAAGTAGGTATAAGCAACATAAAAGTGAAAACAGATTCAAAATTGGATCAGTATTACCAAAGCTATTAAACTTTCGAGGCAGCTACTGTGAATGTCATTATTTGACAATTATATTCAGACATCTTACCATGGACGTTTAAAATGTTTGTAGCTTTGTCATTATTTGGTCTATAGAAATGATATTGGTATCAAATTAAACCTTATTTCCTGTATGATTACAATATTTAATTATGCAAATTAGCTAATCTGCATAAATTGTGATGTCATCAATCAATTTTTGTTCAGAATATCCCAGTTTAGCAACATATATATTAGAACTTAGGCTGTATGACAGAATGTGTGCATAATTTTGACCTTTATTTGATGAGTGGAAAATATAGGCAACATTCAAGAGACAACAGATTCAAAATTGGATCAGAATTAGCAAAGTTATTCAGCTTTTTGGGCACCTACTGTGAACGTCATTGTTTTACAATTATAAAAAATATTACAATAACGAAAAAAAAAGAAACAAACATAGTTGTTTCAATCTTATTGAGTAAAAATGTACATGACTTGTTCATATTTTTCCATTGAATTGAACATGTAAGTGTGTGGATATGTTATATGTACTTTGACTATCATTCACAGGGGTCAAAATCGTGTGATCTTGATCCTGTATTTCAAAATCCAATTTTATAATTCACCATTATAATGTCAATGATCCATATGAATACATAGTAATGCTTTAATTATGCTTTTTGACATATGTTGACAAATATACATATCAATATTTACAAAATTTATATGGAGGAGTATTCCTGGTTTCATTTGATTTCTAACATGTGATAAAGCTAAAAACAAAATTTTGTTGATATCTGGACATAAGCTAAATAAATCTTAATTACCATTTTATATTCAAAATACAGATAGAGTGTCAACTTTAGAACTTAGATATTAACATTTCCATCTCATGTCCCAATGTGTCAATTATTGAGTGAGTCACATCACACCCTCCAGGATGCATTCCTTTGATGGAGCTGTCACACTTAGGCCTTGTAGCTCATCATTCACCACCATGTGAATACTTTCCGACAGATGGCAGGGTACAGCATGAATACAGGGTGGGCAAAACAAATAGTTTTACAGAAAGATATCCCCATCACACCAAATAAAAAGTAAATTAATTTTTAAAAAAACAATGCCCAAAATAAGTCAATCGGTGGCAAATGGCGAGCCCACACAGCTAATGTGACAACTACTTAAAGGAATTTTTTAACCTTCAAAATCCTTGGTGATTCAACCTTAGAATGGTTTATGTTATAGCTTTTCTGAAAATGGACTATAAGCAGAAAGAAGGTACTTCGGGAAGCAAAATGAAAAGTTTAATTTTACATAGTATAACCTCTTTGATATGCAATGAAAAATGATGACAAAATCCATATAAAGAGCTCAGTAGTAGTACTAGTAATCCTGAAATTAAAGTGTATTGATCGAAATAGCCACAGAGAAAAAATGCCCTTCAAAATATATTTGAAAGAAGTAATTTTTGTAGGACTTTAACTAACCCTTCCTACATCTACATATAGTTTTCCTACATCTAACTCTTATGGAAGTATGTGTGCCACACATTGTGTGGTATAGGACTTATAATCTGAACTTCTTTTAAAGGGTTTCCAAAATATGAAATATGTAAAAATCTATGAAAAATATGAGTCTCAAATGGATGGATTTCAGGTATATCCCAAAGAGTATGGATACAATTCAAAACTGAGAACAGTAACAACAGGAGATTTTAGCGCAAAATAAAGGAGTTAATCACGTAGTATGATTGACAGAGGTTGAATAAACTATTTTAATATACATTTTTATAGCTTAGAAGCTTTAATATGGAATGAAAATAGCATACAGTATGTAGCTTAGGGAGCATAGATTGCAATTCTGAACGAAGACCAGTACAAGATATTATTTCATTGCAAGGATTTAAATTATTTTCATACAGGGGTTTCTGAAGATCTGATCAATATAACAGATTATATCAAAAAGTCATAGATGTACATGTAGGCCTGAATGTTGGGACAGTTATCCAAAAGTCATCACAATAAGATGTGCTGAGAGGAGCTGAATCAAAGTCACATCTATAGATGATGTTAACAAGGAGATTAATGTCACACACATGATATTTGGGAGTCAAATCACACTGGTGAGGTGAACATGGACTCATGGAGATGTGACAAAGATCATGGAAACGTTTAATTTCAGTTGAAATAGATTTAGATTATAGAGGTTGCCATCTGGTTCTGCAGTTCATGCAAAGGTCGTGAACTTTTAATCATATCTAAATCATCTAATCACTTCAGCTACTGCAGCCAAGCACTAAACATGTACTTTTTTTTAAATTATTATTGGGAATTTAAATTAAGAATAAAAAGCACCCCTGTCATGAAAGTCACCACTGAAATAGATACATAAGAACAATTCAACCACTGACATATGGGTCCAAGACATGGGTAATGCTAAATGAATATCAATGTTACATATACATGAAGATGGTTATAACATGAATGAATGCCATATAGGTCAATGTCACACTGATGACATTAAATCAGTGTCATATGGATGTAGAAACTCTCGGGTTAAAGCCCTCACTATTCATTTCTACGCTTCATTAACACTTAATATAAAAATGCAATGGTATCTATGAACTATGATAGGTTGGTATGATAAATAATACAAGGTGTCTCAAAAAATGTACCTAAAAGTATATAAACGGCACAGTTAAACTAATCAATATTTTCAGACATTTTTGCATGGTCATGTTGCTGAAGCATGTACATTTCCTTCCCGATACAATGTTTTTAGTTCAGTCTTGCCTTTTTGATGATTTAACCCTTTACTTTTTACTTTATATTTCAATGACAGCCTGTATCCTTGTGCTACATTGTTCATCACATTTGATAATGTTTCAGGTGGAATATTTTGAATTTCTCTTTGGGTGTTGGCCTTATGTTGTTCTAGGTCTTTAGGATTGGGATTAGCTTAACATGTTCCTTCAAATAGCCCCAGAGAAAGAAGTTCCAATGTTGAAGATGGCAGAACAATCACAGAGAACCAGGTCAATTATCGTCAAATGATTTCGCGGTTAATTGATAATGGAGTTCCATCTGCCAGAGTTACAGAGACTGAATGATATCCAAATGAGAACACTGTGGTTCCAGACAGTTTGAGCCCCTCCATGTACAGCAATGGCCACACGAAAAATTCCCATGAAAGGAGTTTCTTCTCTCTGCATATAGACATTGTGAGGGCCTCCCTATTCAACAGATTTGACACCCCAAACATTTTCTCTGGGATGACTTCAAGAACCATGTTTATGCTTATCCCAAGCCAAGAGACATAGAACAACTTGAGATCAACATGTGAAAGGAAATTCAAAACATTCCACCAGAAACATTATCATATATGATAAACAATGTAGCAGTAAGGATGCAGGCTTTTATCAAAATGTAAGGAGGTTAAATTAAACACATGGTATAAAAAGGGTTAAAAAGCATAAAAAAGGCAAGACTGAACTAATAAGTTAGTATTGGAGAGAAAACGTACATGCTTTTCCTAAATGACCATGCAAAAAAATATCTGAAAATATTGATTGATTTATCTTTGCTGTTGATATACCTTTGGGTACATTTTTGAGACACCCTCCTAGAAAATAAAAATTGTATCTTTCATGTCACTGCCAGTAATCTGACAAAATGAGTGAAGGGGAGCCGATTTCTGCTAGAAAATTCAACAAATAAGATTTATTTCTTCAAAAAGCATATAGTATGGTAAAATCAGTTAGGTGTTAGGTGTAAGAATGGCGCAACGTCATCAGCAGTCATCGTCATAACAATATGTCACCGCTTTTGGTGGTGACATGAAAAACAGCAATGATATAATCTATAATAATATAATATAATGTTTAAAAATTCATGTAGATGTTTACTGCTTGAATCGCAGAACAAATATTGATGTTTGACCAGGCATGATGTTTCATCTCTTTAAATAGATTGACGGCTATGAAGCAAATCAGTTTAAAAATTTATAGATTACATAACAGATTTCACAATACCATTCACCCGTTCACTAACTGATTAATCCATAACTTTCTCACAAACAATAAATCATGTTACAAAATAAAAAAAACTGTTTTGACCCCTGTCAATGATAGTCAAAATTATAAATACTTGTATCATTTCTATACACCAACTAATTCAGTGGTATGGAAAATATATAGATTTCACTCGATAAGCTTGAATCAGCTTTGTTTCATTTTTGTTATTTCAGTGTTTTATTTTTGATTGTCAAATAGTAATATTCATAGTAGCTGCCTCAAAAGCTGAATTACTTAGCTAATACTAATTCAATTTTGAATCATTTTTATGTTGCTCATACCTCTTCCACTCATAGAATAAATGACAAACTATGCAGAAACTATGCCATACAACCTTGGATCTAATAAATATGTTGCTATACTTGGAAGTTCTGAACCAAAAATAGGTTGATGACATCATAATTTATGCAAATTAGCTAATTTGCATAATTGAATATCGTTTCCATACCGATTATTCAATTAGGATCAATTCGATACCAAGATCTCCTTTTAATAGACCAAATGATGACAAAGCTACCAAACATATCAATTCTTAGGTAAGATGTTTAAAGTTAATTGTTCAGTGATAACGTTCATGGTAGCTGCCTAGAAAGCTTAATAACTTTGTTAGTTCTGATCCAATTTTGAATCTGTTTTCACTTTTATGTTGCTTAAACCTTCTGCTCATAGAATAAAAGTCATAACCTTGAAGAAATTCTACCGCACAGCTTCAGTTCTTAAAGATACATTGCTATACTTGAAAATTCTGAACCAAAAATAGATTCATGACGTCACAATTTATGCAAATGAGCTAATTTGCATAATTGAATATTATAATTATATGGGAAATTTATTTAGGTTTAATTTGATACCAATATCATTTCTATAGACAAAATAATGACAAAGCTACAAATGATTTAAGATTCCAAGGTAAGATGTCAATAGATGCGTAACCATGGTAACGGAATGCTACAATACAGAGCAACCAATGAGAGTTTGCAAGGTCATCCGGCAGAAAATTGAACCTCAAAGTGTCACCTTTCAAAAAAGTATGGATGCCATAAATTAACAGAGACCGATACGTTGGGTAAATTTTTTGAAACGATAGAGAAGCATGGGTTTCTGACTATCTTAGGGTATTTTAAAAGATATAATTTGAATCTTAAATTCTTAACGTAGTTCACAGTTAAAGCTGCTCCGTCACAGCGGACAAAAAAAACATTATTTTTAATAAAAAATATTAAAAATAGCCAAAACATCAAGATCTCATTAATACCTTCAGAGTTATGCTGAAAACAAATGTAAATATTATCGTGTCACTAGTGGCACTTCTTGGACTTCAAACAGAAGTTACAGTTACCCACAAATGATATATATGTATGGTGTATGGAGTAAGGAATTTTCTTTGGTACAGCGAAACATATGAGTAAAAAAAAAATTGTGTGGGTTTCTTAGTGTTTCTTTGCAAAATAGCATGCTCCGTCACAGCGGACAAAATTTTCGATACCAGCCTGTGTCTCTGTTCTTTTTTTAAGTGCCTCAACCTCTAACTCAACCATCATATACTCCAAAAAGATCGTAAAGATCATAATGACCTGTACCTTGCACAATCAATATATCTTTTCTGTAAAAATCAAAGCTTAACTATGAACCTTATAGATTTTGTAATACACATATTTATTTTAGTCAAGAACATCTACAAAATCACATGTTTACAGACTTAAGATATGAAAATGGATGAATACAATGTTGTAAAGTCAATAGTTAAATTATCAAGGAAAATCAGTTATTCAAAAAGGAATGCCGTTTGAAGCATCCCATTTATCTTCTCTTCAATCACTCAAGTCTAATTTGTAATTGGTTGATAGGTTGACCTCGAAATGTTTCTTATTAACCCTTTCAGCTTTGTCTAGATGCATTTTCTAGCGAACCGTATTTCGAATCAATTTCTTTGAGGGATAATTCTTTGTATGAAAATCTCGAACTGATTAGTTTTGGGGCACTCTAGGAAATGCTGAGGCGGGCTTTCTGTCCCAAAAACTCTGTGTCTTTTTGAATCTTGTTTACACGATATATCTTGGTATCCTTGCTGTATTTAATCATTTTTGGTGTTTTCCCGTTGGGAATCGCGCTCACGTACTGGTAAAAAGCATAGCCTCTTTAAATGAATAGTCTTTGAGCATTCTCGGCAAATTTAAAGGAGGTATCATTTTGAAATTTTTAGGGATGCTTTTTGATATAAAAGTCTATAAAACTGATATGGGCATGCTGGATAAATTCTTCGGTGGCTATTATGGTTTTCAACTGATTAGCGCTGGGCATTCAGGATGAAAAATCTATAGGCCTATAGGAGCACCCATGATGTGAATATGTTCATGGGCTTTCAATCTAAAGCCTATGATATGTTGTACACGTTTGTGCTATTTATGTTACTATCACAGTGGTGACTTTGGGCGATTGTTATAAACACTGTTTCTTGTAATCGGCGGTCGACGTCCCCGTTATGCCTAGATCACATTTGCCCCGATTGGTATCGGCCGGCGCCCGACCGATTGAGTATTTTTTCAAAATTGAAGGTCAAATCTCAAATTTGAGGTCAGAGAACTTGAACATGATTTGGTCAATTTGAAGTAAGTTGAAATCAATTTTGAACAAAATACTGCAATCGGCCGGGCGCCGGCTGATGAATCGGAGCGTGACCTAGGCATTACAATTGTTACACCTTTGTAATCATTAGTAGGTGGTGACGACATTTTCTCATTTTATACATTTTTTATATTGTAGGCCAAGAACATCAGTGTTGATTCCCAGCCTTCACTAGAGAAACAATCAGGCGACATTGTTTAATTGTAGTTTATGTACTGTTTCAGATAAGCTTCTTCGACGTCAATGAAAAAGGGCCCGGGACGTTTAAAGCACAATTGAAGTGATTTATGATTGTGTTATGGTATAGGCCTAGCAATTACTGCAATGGTGTTTCTTTCAATTTATCTGCTCATTTTCACTGTTAATCAGGGAATCGATGCGCAAGGTGAGTTTTTATTTATTTTAATCAAATATTACGTTGATTGATAATGTACTTTATTAATTAACTTGAGTCTTAACTCTTAAGTGGCACAATCACGAGGAAAAACAGTAAGAAGAAAGTTACTGCTCTTCGCATTATGACAAATATGACATTAGTATTGTTTTGAATATATGTATGAGTAGCAACGCGATTGGGTGATTTAACGAAATGATTGGACAAAAATCAACAAAGCAAATGAATTAAAAATTGCACAATTTCACAAACAATCCCATTGAGTTCAATACTGCCTGTTTCAATATATGCAAACTGTATATTTCAACACCATCTAATATAACGATTAAACTTGAAAATTATAGCTATTGGTAATGTTTATTCACGGCAGAATGACAGGGCTGTTGTACCATGCAATGTGAGTTATCCAAGTGAGCAGACATTGGAATGGTTTGAACTTGACCAGTCTGGAGACCCTAACCCAACACCCATTTATACAAATTTTAACAACACTGGCAATACAACAAAAGACCCAGAAAAATACGAGATGGTGCTTGGACCAAGATACGACCTGGCTATTAATGTACTTCGCCCTGAGAACCAAATATATTGCGTTGTGAAAGATGCAAGTGGAAATGAGGTATCTCGGCCAAACACATGGAATATTTGGGTGGCAGGTAAATAAAATAAAATTGAAAGGTTAAATTCTTTGTTCAATCGGCCATATGAAAAGCAAACCACAATATCCCAACCAGTGATTGTACGTATAAAGAAAATATCCAACAAGTCCATTTCCCATCCATTCAGGAGTCATTATAACAACCAAAACAAGAGACGACGTTCATAAACTTGTCATGTCATTGGCAATGAACTCACAATATTTTCACTTGGCACCTTTTGAGGTGGATCCCGGTGTAAAAGGGTATGAGGTCCTATCAAATTATGGTCCTACTCTCCATTGATTTATATGGTGACCTAAATACAACTCTTTCCCTCATTATCTTATACACAATCAGGGCCAGTAAGGGCCGTTAAGAAAGGGGACCATAATCCCTGGGGGACCATCATTTCTTTCACACCGGCTATGGCATTAATGGTTAAGAAATAGGGATCGAAACCAGCCATAGTTTTCTCCTGATGACCATTGTGAATTATTGTGTTTTATGGATTATGGCGACGGCTTTTGTGAATGGATGTTGACCCTTTGAAATGCCTATGGACTTGGAGACTGGATTTTATCTATCCCACATCATTTGAGACTGAATGCTCTATCTTGTATGAGTACTTATATCTACAACAATTTTTGAGGTTATGAGTATTGGCTATCAATTGGCTATCAATTTCTAATTTTTTCTTCAACATGTATTGTAATGACTTCAGTATGAATGAAATGTCCATTGGTCTTCTGGTCTTGGATTGTGATATTGGTTTCTTGAATGGTGGGGGAAAGGGGGTATTAGACATTGTTTCCTTTCACGTTAGATCATGGTTTTGGGCTATATGGGGTTTGTTTTTCTTGACTGGTATGCACTTAGAGTTTGCTTTTTCTTGCTAAGTTCCATTACAACTTTTGGTCCTTTCCCTTTGGCACTAGTGCTTATATATTCATTGAAATATATGCTGAGGAATATTAAAAGGGACCCTGATCTAGGTAAGTTGTAAATGGCATCGGACAGACAAATTCAACTAGTCTAAAGTCCATAAAGTTATCAAACGGTCTTTCACAAAACATTCACATCCTGAGAGGAAATGGAGACCTGCAATCACTGTTGATCACTTGTTATTTTCAGATGGACCCAACTGCCAGGACCAGGTTCTGCAAGTGTCTCTGAATGATAGAGTATACGTAGTGTGCAGACAAAATTCCCATGGTTCATCCTTCCCAATGGAATGGTACAGGGATGACGGGAGACAACTGTACACTCGTAAGGAGTACTCGTATGAAGGAGACCAAGTGTATATGACTATGACGCATGAGTTCTTTGCGAACATAATCCATCATAATACGGTGTTCTGGTGTACGTTATATCCAAAGGAAACTGGACCGGGTGATCTCGCATCGTTTAACGATGCTACTTGCCCCACAAGGATTGAAATTGTTTAGTACTTTAATGACCAACATATTTTCAATAAAATGAATTAAAAATGCATAGTGGCTTTTTTGTCCAATGCTGTTTTTGATTTCCAGGTCCACCTCCCTCCAAATGTTTGGCAACCTTAGCTCACCCATTGAACTTCGTGATAAAGCTTCTTTAAGCTTGAATCTTTATTTACATTTAATAAATTCGATTTTAGGATATGCACATTGCATTTTCTGACGTTTATGTGAATTTGAATATAAAACAAACTCGACAAAACAAAATGTCAGTGTATGGATATTAACATGCAAATCCGACTTGGGAATCACCGATACAATAAGAAATTACCAACAAGTCAAACAGCAGGGGCGGATCTGGGAACCAATAAGAGGAGGGGGGGGGGAAACTTCATGTCAGAGAAAAAAACTTGCTCGGAAAAAAATGTTGGGCCCCTAAAACCCAAAAATGGGCCCAAATTTTATGGCCCATTTTCTTGGCCCCCAGCCCCCCTCCCAGATCCGCCAGTGAACAGCATTGTTTATCAATGTAATCCACGTCCTTTTATCAGTTAAGGTTCTCGTAATAGTAATAGTGAATCGAACAAATAACGCAATTCAACCATTACTTAATGGTACAAATCATAAAAGTGCTGATTGATAAGTGAAGCAGTAATTGCATCGTTTGATTTTTCTGCTCATTGCCTCTGTTAATCGGCAATTGACGCACACGGCGGGGTGCTTTTATTATATTTAATTATATTTCATTACATTTAATTATTGTGAACAATAAAAGGTGGCATAACTATATTGTGTGAATTATATTTTCAAAATTGTCCTGTTCGTACAACCCCACGTGATATTTAATAAACAACCTACTAATAACCACCTCTGCAATACACCAGATGCGGGTAAAAATAATCTTGATTTACTTCATTAAAAAATCAAAATTCAGTCAAACTGATGTCACATTTGGAATCTACATGAAAATTACATCTAGAAATGTGGTTTCGAAAAGTGTTTATCAACTTTCAAATTCAATTTTCTTTGAAAATGTGACTTCTAGGTCGGGGAGATTCCCCATAGACCCAATGCTGTAAAATCACAAAAACTGACTCTTTCAACCATTAGCATATACACTAGGCTCCAAGAATATATGAGGTGCTTGTCTCAAAAGTGGTCAGCGAATTTTTAATTAGCTATTATAGTGGCGCCCTCTTTCCATTTTCTGACATAGGGGTGGCTTGACAAAATATTTTTTTAAATTTCTTTTTCCTAATCTTTCGTGATGATGAATACATATTACTATATATAAATACTTGTAGTATCTTTTGATTTTTTTTGGCATTTGTGTGAATAACAGTTTTGAATAATTAACCCTTTGAATCCTAAAACTTGGTAAAAAAGCGGGGTTATACTACATATCTTTACATCGTATGGGTAAAATAAAGGATTTTGATTCTCTTTTTTAATTTTATTATAAACTTGGTTTAATAAAGGATAAAGTGCCATGGTATTTGTTTTTTCGAAAATCATTGATTTTTTCAGAAAAAATATCAAAAAATCTACCATACTTTTTTCAGTATTTCACTATATTTCAAAAGCCCATGACATAAATGATTTGTTTAAATAACTTACGAATAGATAATGTTAATCCAACATACACAGTTATATAATGTGCTAATCTACGTAAATTTTTATGCTTTTCTCAATTGGAGATAATATAGAGATTAAGAGGTATTAATACTTTAAACACTAATATTACTGGAAATATTTTCGTGTATTATTCTATTCAAACAATACATGGGCTTCCTAATTGAAAGCCCATGAACAATAGTATTAAACAGGGCGTATCAAAAAAACGCAACAAGTAGTTATCTCGTAAAATCACAAAACTAGTGATGACTACATCAATTTCATTTAATGTACCATAAAGCCATGTCTCTCCTCTTTGCAATGATATGTCATTCATTCACGTGTTGTAATGCAAATGGTTGGGTGAGAAATCCTTCCATTTGCACAGTGGGTCAAAATCGGCTCTGCGCCAAGTTTTAGATATTGAAAAAATCAGTGCAAGGGCTAAGTGCCAATGGAAGTTCCCCTGACTTGAATTGTTGTGACTTTTTCTTTTGGAGCTATCTCAAGAGCATCTGTGCTCACAATTCCTACACCAGATATTGCAAAACCTCGAGAAGGATTTACCCATGGGCTGCTTTTCTTTGCTTTAACCCACACATGATTCAGGGCTGAATTATGCATGACGTGGACAGATGAGCGCATCTTTATCTGCAAGGAAGTGGTGGCAATTTGGACGGGTATAGGATGTATTCTTGCAAGAGTATGAGTATGAACACTTTACTGTCTATGCCATACCAGTCACCTGGTGGGGAGTCGATGTGAAGACAAAAATGTTCAGAGAAAATGGCACCAGGAAAATTAGCATTAGCAGATAATATCAGCTAAAAGTGATAAATTTGATGATTATCGAAACTATCGTTTTTATCGCTAAATTTGTTTTGGGTCTGGCGCTTTTATCGCTAAAAAATTTTGGGTCTGGAGGTGATGTTCAGAGAAAATGGCACCAGGCAAATTGGCATTAGCTGATAATATAAGCTAAAAGTGATAAGTTTGATAATTATCCAAACTATCGCTTTTATCGCTAAAAGATTTTGGGTCTGGAGCTTTCATCGCTAAAAGATTTTGGGTCTGGAGGTGATGTTCAGAGAAAATGGCACTAGGTAAATTAGCATTAGCTGATAATATCAACTAAAAGTGATAAAATTGATATTTGTTGAAAGTATTGCTTTTATGGCTAAAAAATTTGGGCCTGAAGCTTTTATCGCTAAAAAATTTGGTGTCTGGGGGTGATGTTCATAGTAAATGGCACCAGGTAAATTAGCATTAGCTGATAATATCAGCTAAAAGTGATAAATTTGATAATTATCAAAACTATCTCTTTTATCGCTAAAAGATTTTGGGTCTGGAGCTTTCATCGCTAAAAGATTTTGGGTCTGGAGGTGATGTTCAGAGAAAATGGCACCAGGCAAATTGGCATTAGCTGATAATATAAGCTAAAAGTGATAAGTTTGATAATTATCCAAACTATCGCTTTTATCGCTAAAAGATTTTGGGTCTGGAGCTTTCATCGCTAAAAGATTTTGGGTCTGGAGGTGATGTTCAGAGAAAATGGCACTAGGTAAATTAGCATTAGCTGATATCAGCTAAAAGTGATAAATTTGATAATTATCAAAACTATCGCTTTTATCGCTAAAACAATGTTGGGTCTTGAGTCAATGTTACGAAGAAAAGGGCATAAGTGAAATTAGCATTAGCTGATATTATCAGCTAAAATTGATAATTATCAAATTTATCTGATATTATCAGCTAATACTAATTTCATGTCTGCCATGTATCAAAATTATCAAATTTATCGATAATTGATATTTATCAAATTTATCGCTAATTGATAAAATTTCTGGATAATTGATAATTATCAAATTTATCGCTAATGGTAAAAGTGAAAGGCACATATGAAATTAGCATTAGCTGATAATATCAGCTAAAATTGATATTTATCAAATTTATAGCTAATTGATAAAAATTATCGATAAATGATAATTATCAGATTTATAATTAATTGATAAAAATGAGTTTCCGCACCTAAATGCAGAGATGACTCCCTGTGAATGAATGATATTCCATTGCAAAGAGGAGTAATTTGGCTTTTTGGTACATTGAATTAAAAGGATGCAGTCAGCATTGGTTTTATGTTTTCGTCCAATATTGTAACTTTGCCAAAAGCTAATTTTGGCCCACTTTGCAAATGGAATGATTACTCACCCAACTATGAACAAATATCGATATCGGTGTACATGTCTTGATTCTTTTAAAATACTATTTGCTGAAAAAACTTCCGGCTTTCGGGTCGAAAAATGTATTTCATCACAAGGGGTCAAAAAACGTAAATATTTTGATTCGAACTTTTATACATTTTATAAGACACAGACCGTTATTCTAAGCATACGAACAAAAATAAATTATCATAATTTAAAGATATACTATTTAATTTTACCGTAGATGTCGGTGTTTAATAAGTGTAATTATACAAGTGTGTTTTCAGATTTTGTTTGATTTTTCAAATATGATCCCAGCCGATTCAACAAAATTATGTGGAATATTTAGGTAATTTATGATTGGGAACATATTAGTTTTCTTACCATTTAAAACATCACATTACCAGGATTTTCCCATATTATCGCAAGGGGTCAAACAACAAATTATTCTTCATGTTTTATAAAACATAATACAATAACAAATAGGTAAGATTTATATCTAGTTAAATGTTACAGAGGTATTGGAATGTTCATATATTCCAAGGGCATGTCTAGTAATCAATTAGAGTCATATGCAATCGAACGCCTTGAAATTCTTCCTCGACGTTACTTGTGGCTATCATCAAGTTTTCTGATGGCTGTTTGTTTTTTGACCTTACCGCTGGATACAAGCAAATTTTTGGAAGATAATGATAATGATTTTTCTCAATTATTCATGAATTCGATCAAGTTTTGATTGTTATTTTATAAGCAACTGAGCTATATCTAACTACGGTAAATAGAATTTTATCTGTAGTCCCAATTAGTCAAGGAAGAGCAATAGGCACTCCTTTAATGATAATTTTCACCGCTGAATAAAAGTCCATATCTCAAAACGTATTGAGACCCCTTTTGTGAAAAACTAACATAATTTGAACATTGTCATTCCAATATAAAAGTGATTTATTTGAAGCATTTATCTTATTTATACCTGAAGAAACAATACAAAACGTCGATACACTGATTACATATTTTTTGGTATTGATAAGAAAAATAACCTCAAACTTATAGCTTAGTAACCTAAATCATATATTTAAAATCATTTTGTATTCTTTTCTGTTGCATTGTGTACTCCAAATTGTGAAAAATTGGGATTTTATTTTTTGGTGATTTTTTGACCTCTGTTAATGGCAGGCATAATTCAGCCTAAAAGCCGGAAGTATATTGAACGGTTATAATAAAAATTACTAGGGGACATATGTAG